ATGTATAATGTAAAGTATATCATACCTAATTTTATGAAATTCTAATCACTGCACACTATTGAATAAGCAATATTTGTAGTCTATGGACTGAAAGAACCCTATACCGACGCCCTTTAGATTGACTAAAAATACGTGCCCACTTAAAATATACCAGGATGAATTCCATGTCACTTGATTCACCTCGGAAGAGAAACTTTGAACTCAGTTTGCCACTGAAGTTTGGTCCCCTTTTAACTCAAAAAAAACATTAAAGTAAGTGAGGAAAATTTCCCGAGTTTGCTATTCTTCCCGAGTGGCAGACCATTTTCCCTTTCTTAAATCAGTCAAATGTGGGTGGGGGGAAAGGAAAAGAGGGCTAGACAAGGCCTGACAAATCCCTCTTTCGGGACGCACAACGTCTGCGAGTAGGCTAGGCCGCATGTAAAAAAGCCCAAATCCGGCTTTTCACCTAATTGCTCTATTAGACAAAGACATTTTAAGGTAATTCCGCAGTAATTGTTCCCGAAATGAGAATGTGCTGAAACTTCCCAGGCATGGAGTTTATGATATACTTAAAGTAAAATCACACAAAAAAGTCGGGTCACCGAACTCGTTAAGAAGATATGACAATCACAATATACCACCTTTATCCCAATATGGCGCCATCTTGACGCTCATTACGAATAACAGCAAACTCACAACAGCCCGATATTTATTGACGTTTTTAGCGCGGATTTTGCTTTAGTAATCCTATCTTGTAATTATTTTTGAAAAAATATCGTGTTTTGAGCAAAATGAAACTACTAACGTGTACAATTCTGATCCACAAATGTCTTTTGCACATTTCTTTACATATCTTTCTTTGAGAACATGCATTGTAAAGCTTTTTTTTCAAGATCCAGAAATGATTTTTCTTTTAATTTTGGATATGAAATGTAAAATGCATTAAAGAAATAAATTATCAGTTAAAAAACGGGGGTCACCGATCTTTTTAGGGAATTGTGGCATTAAAACGTGAAATACAAGTAAATAAATATACTATACAGACACAGGAACCCTAGCTACACTTTTGTATGCCTTTTTTGAAAACATTGATTTTAACGTAATTCTTTGCACTAATGTAACCAAAGATGTTTTGAAGTAACATAAAATTGTCATAAAATGATATTTTTTTTAAACGGTACGTATAATGGATGAAATTATAAGTTATAGGATGTGCGCAGTAAAAGTGCGCAATGCAAAACTGCGGAATTACCTTAATCTGTCTTTTTGATTGGTTCATGCTAATTGATTAGGGGAGGACCATTAGAAATCCCGGGAGGCGGCGGGGTATAAAATTTTTGCGGCACGATTTTGTTTTTCAGTCTCATGTCTCTACACTCAACAGGATTTTTTTTATGCATTTAACCTCTGCAAGAATTTTTTTCAAGACTATTTGCACTATGCTGTTTGCTTGCACGATTTTTTTTTCTCTGACGTAATGGCTGCATGAATTTTTTTTCCAGGCATTTTTCTTTGCACGAATTTTTTTGGGGGAATTTTCCCTCCCGGGATTTCTAATGGCCCGCCCCTTATGATTATACTAGTACTATTGTTCATGTTGTGTCGATCTCTATTAGGGCCTGTTCATAAGGGCAAAAGTTATCCCGGTTAACGAGAAAACTTTTTCGACTAGCCAAATACTTTTGTTCTGTTCATATGGAGAAACTTTATCCCGCTTACCGGGTAAAGTTTTCGGCTGTGACGTGGCACTGAACATCAATTGAATTGAAAAGTTGCCGACACGACAGAAAGTTATCCCGCTAAGCGGGAAAGTTGTGTTCATATGGGAAAAACATCCCGGTCACCGAGATCTCGCCTGTCAACAAGCGAGATCTCGGTACACGGGAAAACTTTTTGTCTCATATGAACGCAGTGTAACTTTTCATATTATTTTCATACCAAGGCGAGATCTCGCTTGTAAACTTGTCGAAAAGTTTTCTCGCTAACCGGGATAACTTTTGCCCATATGAACAGGCTCTTAGAGTGATAGCTTTAATAACAGAAAGCGGGCGAATTGAGAGATGTAGTTCAATTTTCTTGCATGTGCCTTAGTGTCAATATTGCCGCATGTAGTAAGTCGTAAAATTAATACATTTACAAATATACATGCGGGTTTCGATTTCTTTTTGACAAACTCAAATTTACCTCGATCACAATAGACAACTTGCATGTTAGACTAATTTTTTATTTAGGCCAAAAAAAGAGTAAATTCCCGTAAAGAACTTATTAAAATCAGCCATAAAATTGCAAAATTTGGTTACGAAATGTTGTAAAATACAGAAAATATAGCCTTGCGAAGTTTGCATATTTTCAGTATATTTGTATTTCAGTATATTTGTATTTACTAATTTCATTATTTTCTTTTTAACTGTTGTGTTTTATTCCCTTCTCTTTACTTAGATTATGGTTTAGTCTAACATGCAAGTTGTCCAATGCAGGTGGTCCATCATCAGGGCAGGAAAAATAAATTTCTTCCTGGGAGCACAACCTGGAGACAAAAATTTCCTGCGGACCAACGGAGTATTTTTGTGCTAAATCTGCATGTGTATAAACATGTAGTGTACTAGTGTTCTAGCTGACCATGGTTTTAAATTCAAGGAATAATGTCC